ATTTGAGTTTCATTCGCATATATCATTCTACACTGGTGCACATTTCAGGTGTCATGCATTCTTGCTCTGACTGGCTCTGACTCTGAGGATGGTTCAGAAGATATACGTACATGATACAGCCCAGTGCCCAAACGTCCGCCTCTGGCCCCTGTCCCTTCTTTTTCCACACTTCTGGTGCCGCATACTCCTTTGTTCCGCAAAAACATCTACAATACACACAAAAGGAAAACAGAACACACGTCTTTTAGCTTGTTGTATAAGCAGTTAGAAAGCTTTGCTGGAGAATCTGCAAAAAAGAACCTACTTATGCATCGTTTCCAGCGGCTCCAGCTTGCCTGCCAGTCCAAAATCAGCCAGTCTCAACTCCATATTCTCAGTTACCAACAAATTCTCTGAAAATCACTCAAACATTTCACCTAATAACACCAGACATTAAACAGTTGCAGAATACAACAACAGCAGGCAACGAACATATAAACTACACGGGCAAATGCCATGTAAAATGTCAACACTAATATGTGGAGAATTAAGCAAATCACATGTGCGCGCACACATACCTAATTTGAGGTCCCTGTGGACAAGGCCTTCATCGTGCATATATTTTAATGCTGAAATGAGCTGCCGCATGTAATAACGCACTTCTGCGTTGGTCAGTGACTCTCTCTCTTGAACGATGTCCAGCATCGACTGGAATGGGAGAAGGGGGGCTTGAGTCGACACAGAGTCTTAACCCTAATAAACTGTCTGCAAAGGCCAGATACAACTGGACTCACCCCCCTGCTGCACAGCTCCATGAAGATGTACATAAAGTTCTCATCTTCAGTATAATGTGAGAAGCTCACAACATGCCGGTGTTGTAGCTTCTTCAGAATGTCTACTTCTTGTAGACACTGAAATGTCAGACATGTTAATCTCAATGAGTTTAATGGAAATGCAGTTTAACTGCAGAGGGCTGACCTTAAACAGGATTAAGACCACATACCTCTTCTAGTCCAGCAGAGTCCTCTATCGGGATTACTTTGACGGCAAAGATCTCTCCATTGCAAACGTCTCTCATTTTGTAGCATTTGCCAAAACTGCCCTAAAAACACAAGCCTATTCAGAATTTCTGCCACCTCTAATACTGACTGGCCATTTCAGGAATCTACTCTGCAGCAAAACTAATACATTGCAACTTAACTATGTACAGTATCTTGATAGTACATACCTCTCCCAACAGCTCCAGTCTGCGGTAAATCCGCAGATTTTCGCTATCAAGGACGAACTCGGGCACTTCAGTTGTCTTCTGAGTTGCCATGTTGCAGAAAAGTATTATGCGTTCGCAACCAAAGAAAGCAGAAAATGG